TCAGCAGGATTAAGTGACTGAAATGTCACTGTCAATGTCTACACTTTGAACTAACTTGCTATGAGCTAAGCGGGGCAGAGGTCTCCTAGGAAAGGTAGACTTTTTGGCATCTCTAGGGACAGGGCAGATACTCAGGTGGTGCCACTGCTATGCTCACCAATGGCAGCTTTTATTTGGATGCGTTAGGGCCCATGTGGTACCAACTGTAAATATTCTGAATATCCCTTCTGCCTGAGGCCTGGGAAGGAAAGCACCTTGTATTCTGATGTGCAGGAAACTCTTTCAAATCACTCCTTTAAGAGTTATTTCTTACATAAATGCTGCCTGATTGCAAGATGATCGAGGGCTTTGGTAGAAAAGACAATGGCTGATATCTAGACTTTTGTTAGTGACCTAAGTCCTAAGTAATACATGGAGTTAGTTAATACTCCAGTGTCTGGATACCCTCCTCTAAGGTGAGGTCAACTGAGAAACATAAATCTCTTCATGCAAGTTTTGAAGGGTCAGGGGAAGCAAGATGGCATTAACCAGCGTGTGCTCACCACATAATGATCTGAACGATTTTCATGGTTGCATCACTCAGAGCATTGAAGAAATCCACCAGAATCTGTCCCCTTTCTCCCATTTTTCCAATGACAATTCCAAAGACGAGGCAAAAGACAATCAAGCCCAGGACATTTATGCCGTCTGAATACATGCCTATGACTTTGTATTCCTTTGTTTTGTTCTGTGGATAAAAACCAAGAAAATACATTGATGCATGATTACAATCTTGTTAGAATGCATAGACCCTGAAACAGAAAGATATGATAGCCAAATAAACCAGTGGCTCTAGCAAAAACTTTGGATCAACAACTTTGGGAAACATAATTAAAAACACAAACACCTACGCGTGGGTCAAATTTTACTGCTCCCCACCCTCTGCCACTGAAGTTTAAAGTGTGTCTTTCTTCCTTTCTTTCAACAAATCCATATTTGAATATTTCTTTTGAAGATTCCTTATGCTGGGGTGTTTTAAATTTTTAATAAGAACTTTAGAATCAAGGCACTTTTCAGGGTTATTTTAACTACTAGTTACATTTGGAGTCTGCATAAAAAAGATACAGATTAATAATGCAGGAAGCTCAAAATATTTACCAGTGTGGACATTTTTAGGACACTTTACTACCTGTTTTATCCTGATAATGAACACAGGAATATTCTTTTCTGCCTCTAATCCTGGATGACCAATAGGATTTTAGAGACATAAAAATTAACCAGACATATACTACTATGAACCATGTCTTTGTTTTATGCTGGGTAAGAAGAGCATGAGATATACCGAGAGATAACTCAATCTGCGTTGTGCAGCATGAGATTTACTCAGAGATTTCACAGGGAGATAACGCATTCTGAGTGGTGCAAACCAGGTTTACAAAGAATTATGTGGACGAGCCACTGGGGTACCCAATTATTTCTTACTTATGATCTGACATGATCAAACATATTTATTGAGCAGTTATTGTGCTAACTGCATTGGCTACAGCATAAAGTCTTAAAATGCAGCTGGATAGACAAGACTAACTGTGAGAAACAGGAGCCAATGATAGCAAGATGGTGTGTAATTAGCTGCACAGCCAAGCTATGAGTTACAGGCATCATATGGAGACTGGGGACATGAATGAGGGCTGTGAGCTTAGGGAAAGCTAGGCCTGAGCAGTAGGCAGCCAGGAGATGAAAGCACAGTCCAGAAAAATGTAAGGAAAGGCAAAAGTCATCACGCACCAGGTCCCTGTACCCTGCTTGAATAATTCCTACTCATCCTTGATGGACCCCAAACTAATTTAAACCTCCCTGCTGAATGCCCCAGAGTACCCTATTCTTCCCTGTTTTAATATTCATCACTCTTCACACGAGGGCATATGTCACATCTGTCTTTTCTCTACTGTAATCCCAATGCCCAGAAGGGCTTGGCTCATGGAGGGTGCTCAGAACATCTTTATGGAACCATATCAAAAAGCAGGAATAGAAACTAATTGAGGAGGTGGATCTGGATAGAATAGATTGGGCTCATCAAGAAATAAGCTGGGAAACCAGGGAGGAGCTAGGTCATGGAGGGCTTTCCGTAGGAAGAAAGAGGGAGCTAACTGTGGCCGACTTAACCTGAACTCTTAAGTCTACTGAGTATTTCTTTTTTCCTTAAATCTTTCCTTTCTGTGTGAAGGCACAGTACCTTCAGGAGCGATCTACAGGACTACAGATATACTACATTAGGCCCACACGATCTAATCTCCAATGCTGAAATCCCCAAAGTTCTCAAAGCCTGTTGATTTCATTGATAAACGTATGGCAAACTCTTGGTGGCAAAACCTATCCCGAACCGAGATGAGGCTACATATAGCCTATTTTTTTCTTACTTGGTAGAACATTCATAAGTTAGTTGCAGAAATACTGATGTGCTTGATTCTAGAATGTTATTGTCAATTCCACTTAAGGATGTTGTATAACATATAGTACATACACCACCTGGACCTTCTAAAGTGAAAAGCTCTGGGCTCAGTATCAAATATGGGCAAAGAGTTTCAGATAAGGAATTGTAGGCCTGCAGTTTAAGTAGTCTTGCAAATCTAACATCGTTCCCAGAGGTGCCCAACTCAACTCTGGGTGGCAGAGATACAGAAGCGAGAGGGCTCATTCTTTTCTCTGCGTGGTTCAGTTGCTTCTCATTATTTTCAGAAGTTACACTCTATAAGCTGCGAACACTGAATTAGTGAATATTGAATCAGTGTTCCTAGGGGAAATATAGGATTAGGCTCCTGGGAATCAACAGTCACAACATTTTTGCCAAATGATCAACATAAAACCTTGTTTTCTCTGTGTTCCAGTTCAAAGACACCTTATATAATATATATTATTTAGTTGTTAACATTGAACTCACAGACAACACACTTTAACTCATGTCTGAATGAAACTTATCTAACACATGTATTTTCTCATATGGCACATCAGCCTGCCTGCCTTTGGGAAAACTAACTAGACAGCACTGCAGCATGATGCTTGGGGGACATTTCAATCAGCAAAATCACCAAGACAGAGTACAAAAATGTGAAAAATGTGGCATAAACACACCGCACAGAGGACACTTATTTACCATATAAGAGCTGAACCAAGAAGGCTGAGCGTAGCCTTGTTCAGCCTCAGCGGGGAACGTGTGCATTGGGCGACTTAAAATTTTCACCACTCTTTGTGTGTCTGTGAATGTGAGTAGGTGAATTCACAAACGTGGAATCTGCGAACAATGAGGACCTACTTATTTCCATCTCCTGCTCACTCATGGCTCGGCCCCTGCCTACCAGGGAAGGGAGCAAACAACAGGATGGAAATGGTACCTTGGAAATGGCAGTTGTCATGATGGCTGTGACAGACGCCTCCGTCCTGTTTGTCCCCGGCTCATCAGGACGTTTTACCTCTTCACGCGTGGTTTTGTACTGCACGTTGAAGGGGAAAAAAGGTCAAAGAAACAAACAAAACAAGAATTTTTTTTAAGCTTCTGAGGCTAAAGGAGTATTACTTTGGCCAGACAAGTGTCACTGAAAGGTTCCACCTCCGAGGCCTCTGTTGGCTTCAGTTTTGGACGGTACCTCCCATGAGGCTTTGGAAGCAAAAATGGGATTGAGAAATCCAACCTCCTGACCTCCACAGCCACCATTCAATGGTGTCAAAATGCTCTCTCACTTCTGTAATAAGGGACCAATTAATGGAGCAATAATGTGAAAGAAAACATGGGTTTTATTTGTAGTTGCTTTACCAGACAGACTCTACAGGAATCCTATGAATCATTTTTGTTTCTATTTATTTATTTATTCATTTATTATTTTTAATCTGAAAAAAAAAACCTCATCACTTGGATAAATGTAGTCACCATGACTTTAACATCAAGAACTATACGGTTGTTCCAAAGTCAATAGTCCCTTTAGGGCTATTACGTGAGTGAGATTTCTGTTGAATTTCTTCAGCCCTGTTTGATTCTGCTGGACTTCAGCAGAGATGTTTAAGAAAGAGCTAGTATATCATCACGCCAGGCATAAATGTCACTCCTACGAGGCTCTGCCAACACCAGGAACCTTACAAATGACCACTGTGGCTGAATTGCAAAGGCACTCCCTAAATAGAGGTGGTTCTGTACCTCTTGGAGGTCGGCGGGGAGCAATTTAATTGCCATTTTTGTTGGTCTACACAGAGGTCTCTGTTCCTGTAATTATGTAAATGAATTCAGCAGCTTGTGATAGACTCAGCTGGTCTTAAAGTGCATAGATAAACAAGAGGAAAAGCCTTAAAGGAAATGGAGTGAAGAGACTGTTAAACTTCCTAAAGGAAAAAAATCTTGGCTTTGTTATATTGCTCTGTAGAGTGCAAGCAATGGGCATGTAAAGATGAAAGAAAAGACCAAATGCCAGGAACACTAACCACCCATGTGGGTCAGATACTGATTTCCCAACATGGGAGGGAAAGGAAAGAAGAGGTGAAGGGCTACTTTTGTAACTGCATTATATCTGTAGATAGTCCAAGTTTCTTCACAAATATAATGTGGTTCTCCAAAAATAGGTACTAGAAGCCACATTTTAAAACATTCATTATTTGACAGGTTCCTGACTTGCTCCAGTTGAGCCCTTTTGGAGGAAAGAAAAAAAACCCTAAGGGAAAACGGAGGAGCTACAACAGGCATGTCACCGTGCCTGGATATACTAGGGTTATGAAATAGGTCACCTGATATTCCTCCATTCACAGGTGCAGTTCCTGTCATTTTTGACGGGCTAATTCCATTTCTTGGGTCATAGCAGGAAAAAAATCTTAATTGGCAAGGGGGAAGAGGGGAGCAACTTGAGGGCAAAAGTCATTATTCTTACCTGCTGAAAACAGGCTTGGACGAGGTTCTCAGGGAACATATTCCTGTTGGAGACAGGACAAGCAGTATTACATTAAGGCAAAAGTGTTTTGTTTTGTTTTGTTTTTGCCGTACGCTGGCCTCTCACTGTTGTGGCCTCTCCTGTTGCGGAGCACAGGCTCCGGACGCGCAGGCTCAGCAGCCACAGCTCACGGGCCCAGCCGCTCGGCGGCATGTGGGATCTTCCCGGACCGGGACACGAACCTGCGTCCCCTGCATCGGCAGGCGGACTCTGAACCACTGCGCCACCAGGGAAGCCCAAGGCAAAACTGTTTTGTTTTGTTTTTTGGTCATACCCAATACTTTGATGGAAATGATTATGCGATAGAATTAGTACTCTGGTTTCTCTTCTGGCCTCTCCTTTACATAATACTTCCTTGTATTAAGACTTATTTTTCCCTGCTGAGCTTCAACCAGGGATAGATAGAAAGCTCTCCTAACCACCTGTCACGCTTAACTGATTCACCGAGTAGCTGACATGCCTGCTGTCCTTGGTGAAATTCACACTGGCAGGTAGACATGCACAGTTAAGAGGCTTCTTTAATATTTTCCACATTTCTGTTTTCATTGATAATGAGAGTCCACTGCACTTGTTCCCAAATTCGTTACGCCAGTTGCAAATAATCGTTATTATTGAATTAAAAATTATGTAAACCAATGCATTGTAAGTGTGAAAAGGAAGGAGCAGTTTCCATAAAAACTAAGCTGGGGGCTTCCCTGGTGGCGCAGTGGGTGAGAGTCCGCCTGCCGATGCAGGGGACACGGGTTCGTGCCCCGGTCCGGGAGGACCCCACATGCCGCGGAGAGGCTAGGCCCGTGAGCCATGGCTGCTGGGCCTGTGCTCTGCAATGGGAGAGGCCACAGCGGTGAGAGGCCCGCGTACCGCAAAAAAAAAATACAAAAAAAAAACTAAGCTGGAATGCCTGGAAACTCAATCGAGGCAAGTGAGTAAAACTTCTGTGGTTGCATTAGGTAAGGGAAGACAATTGAAATAAAAAACAACCGGAAGAACTCGGCACTCAGCTTTCTTTGCTATTTCTAAGAGTTTTGTTTCTCCACTTCATGGAAGCTGAATCTGGAAATTGTAGATGATGCGTTTATAAAGGCAGCCTAGGCAACAGGAATATGAAAAATCAACTGACACACTCTAAGACCTTGGCCTGACATAAAAAAATTGGCAAATAAACACATTTAAGTTTTAAGTGTAAACAAAATATGTAATGCATATTTATGATTCTCTGCTTTAAATGCTGTTTTTTTTTTTAATTAACTGACCAATCTCCAGCCCTGATTGCTTCAGATAAGAGGGTTTCTCCTGTACAATTAAAAAATGTATTTCTTCAAGTATGCTTCAGAACTGACCACCCAACACAGCCCGGCATCTTAACGCAACAAGTATACTTTACGCATCTCTGTCCATCCTAAACCCTGACAGAGAACGCTGTTCCTTCCATTCCCTCTCGGAACCATGACCTGGTAAGCATGACCCTGTAATTTGCAGGGTCCAGGGCAAAATGAACATGTATAATAATTCAAAAATTATTAAAAATTTCAAGACAGCAACAGCAGAGCATTAAACCAAGTATGGGGCCCTGTGCGACCACATAGGTCGCATGCCTATGAAGCCACCCTGCTGGCCAGACACTCACCTGATCAGGTCTAACATGGCATCCACTGAACTGACTTCAGGGCTGCTGCCTGTCCTGTCAATTTCATTTACTTTCTGGGTGACACCAGGCTTGATGCTCACCACCAGCACGATACCTATGACCAAAGATAGCACCCACAGAGCATTAAGAACCTCCCAGGGCACCTGACACCCCTCGTGGATCCATTTTAGAAGCAACAGGCCTGGTGGTACCGGGCAATACTGGGATGGGGACCCTGAGGTCCAGCCAAAACGACAAGCCTCAGTGGGGACCTCAGCAGCTGCCTTTATTACTTTTCCATCTAAATGAAGCAGAAAGAACTCTTCATGTGTGTTTTTAAAAAATGAAGGGGCTGCATTCCAGAACTGCTTCTGGAAACACCTGCTGATGAGAATCCTCTTTTTTTCTTTTCTTTAGCTTATGAGATCAGCCTAGGCAGGGGTGAGGGTGAGAATAATTCATTTTCCAACTCAGGGCACTCACTCAACATCTTTCTGTAACTTTTACCCACAGTTGCTGGTTATTTTCCTGAGGGTCATACAGAATAAGCCTTATTTTCCTTTCATATCACAAGCCTTCGAATATCTGGAAAGCTGTTGTGTAACCCACAAAAGGATTTGGGTTAGGAAGTGTTGTTCCGTGTGACTCTTAGGGGGTGGAATGAGGACAGGAGTTCCAAGGAGAGATAGTTCTTCTCATTGTAAAGAAGAAATGTCTAAACAGCATCTGAAAGCCCCATTTTGGCCTCTGGAGGTAATGGGTTCCTCTTGAGGTGTTCAAGCAGAGGTGGGAGGTTTTAGGAAAGACCAGGTTGTTTGACTGGCGGGGAGTGAAGAAGAAAAGGCCCCATGCCCTTTATCACTCTTCCCAAGGAGAAATGCTAGTCCAAGAGGGTAGGACTTAAGGATGCTGAATGGGTCAGTTTTGCTAATGGGAGGAGTCACTGGGCAACAGAGGGGCAATGAATGGCTGTGGTCCACTCTTCCATCTCAGGGTTGCAGAAAATAGATAAGCCCAGCTTTGTTCTTTGCGTTGGCCTCCCTCAGGAATCTCACGAGGAGATGTAGCTTTGATTTAAGGCGGGGTTCAGGCCCTCCTAAGTCCCCTGGCCTAATACCACTAAAATGTCACCACATCTTCATCACCTTTTATCAGTTCATTAAAGCAGAGCTGCAAGGGTCAAACTGGCTGCAACATCTGAATACACTCCTCTCTTCCCACTCCGGGCATCCTTCTTAAGATGTTACGCTAGGTCCCAAAGGATGGACCGTACTTTTTTCACAAAAGAGTGCCAAAGGTATAAGAGCAACCATATTCCCTTATTAGAACATTCTCCCTCTTTCAAGTGGAATTTATACTTGGCAAGACTCTGTTAGCTCTGGCTACTATGTGAAATTTGAAATGTAATGAAATATTATCTTTCTGGAAATACTTTATAATTATACTCAAAGCCACTATTATAGACTAATTATCAAGTTTAAAGATTATATTAGCTCTTGGCTTCATTTATTTCTACCCAATAAGGTAGATATGGCACAGAACTGTCACCCTCTTTCTGTTTCTTACTAGAGACACTAATAAATAAGCAGTACCACGGCTGAAATTCAGTCAGTATTATATTGTTCATATAAAATGTGCTGTGCTGACTTCAAGCCAAAAAGCTTCATAGTAGTTTGACAATTGTACTTTCTGATTTTAAAAAAGTGTGCATTTTTAAAAGCCAACTACTTTTAAATGGAAAGTCACAATTATACAGAAAAATAAGGATTCAGAAATACATTTTACCTAAAATTACAGCAATGACAGTGGTACAGAAATAATATACGACAGCACGTAGACCTATTTTTCCAGATATGTTGGAATCCAGTGCAGCGACACCTGAAAAGGGGGGAGAAATCAAATTATATTACTCAAAAAAATTTCCAGGACTGGTGGTGATTCAATCCTCAAGGTGTGAAAAAAAAGAGCTGAGAGCTGTGTCTGCATCTGCTAGGCCTATCTCACACATTTTGTTTGAATAAATGCAATGGGCAAAAGAAGCACTTCAACATTCCAAATGCAGAATTAAGAGACCGAAGCCTAGTGGGAGGCAAGTTCCCCTCTGGCTAATCCCCACTACTTTAGCCCATAGTGAGTGCTGTGTCTTTGGCTGCTCTTGGGGGTGGTCATGAGACAGTAAAAGGAGTCCCCCCTTCTGCATCCGCTCTAAGAACTTTATCAAGATTTGTACATTGTATCACTCAACATTCTTTTGGGATTCAGTATCAAGGAAAAGTTTACATTGAAGAACTGAGAAAGTTCTTTCATCACATAATAAAAACCATGTAACTCATGATTGTTTCCCTTTCTGCCTTTTTTTGTCAGGAATCTCAGAGTCAACTAAAAAAATAACTTTTACATGTGATTATAATATATATGTTCATTGTAATTATCTGAAGAAAAGAAAAAAACATAAAGATGAAAACAAAACAAAACAAAAAAAATCACTTCATGTCATCAGCTGTAGTCAATATTCTGGTGAATTTCATCCCCATTTTTTTTCTCAATTTTTTGTAAACATGGCTGAGATAATTTGATAGCTTTTAATCCTCTCTCTTCTAAATACTGTATTATAAGCATCTTTTCTTATTGTTACAAATTCACCCCACAGATAATTTTAAAGGCTACATAATCTTCTGTCATGTGGCTGTACCACAGGTCTTTAATCATCTACTTAATGATGGATCTTTAGACAATCTCAGGGCCAAATTCAATAATAAATCACAGTAATTTTATTATCCATCCTGGCTAGCAAATTGCCTTTTTTTCATGATTTTTAAATGCTTTTATGTTTACAACCTTATTCTGTATGGCTTTGATTGTGAGACTCCTTAAAATCCCAGTTGGAGTTGGGATATAAATAAAAATTTCCGAGGGCACAGGTAATCAAAGAGACTTAGGACCACATTGTTAGATCTAGTTTCAGATGGTCTTTGGCTGCCAGTAAAATGACTGAATGTTACTTGACGTGAAGTGGTTGTGTAGAATGCCAAGGATAGCTGTAGAGGTGGAAGGCACACATCCCTCCTTGCTAGAAACCTCTGCGTTCCATCAAAGATGCCCATATAAATGGAATCAAATGATGCATCTCTCTAACTGGACTGCTGCTACGTGGGACACGAGGCAGGTTCAGAAGCGACCAAGTCATCTTTCAGCAAACTGTCATTTGAAGGTTTCAGACTACCCTGTCTGACTTCCAAAATGAGAATCACATTTTGAATCAAACAATCACCATAGAAAGTGATTTTTGAGTCTTCAACACACGAGTTGTTCCATAACTGTTTGCAAAACCTGAAGTACAGGGTAGCAGGAAAAACGAAGAGGTTGTCATGAGACAACCCGGAGGAAAAGGCCGTAAACCTGCAGGCTATCAGCAAGCACAAGTAGCTTTTATATTCACTCCTCATGCTATAAAAGGCCTATCCATTTTTTTTTAAGTGACTAGGGGATTATGCTCCTCAAATATAATCGTACATAGTTGACGTACAGGAAAAATCTGTAAGGAAGCTATCATGATGATGATGACAGAAAAAGTCATCTCTCACTCTAAACACGCCATTCCTCTGGCTGTTAATTGCTCCTTATGAAGTTAATATTTTGAGAGAAGGGGCTCTGGCCTCTAGCAGTCACCCCAGGATGTTGTTAAGGGCTCATTCACCAACCTCCGGAGCAAGATTGTGCAGTTACCATATGATGGGTATACTGCAGCAGTCACATACTAGAATAACCTGGATGATAGATCCTATTCTCTTTCTTTGGGAAAAAGAATGTGGTAGGCTGAGCAGACTTTCTTTTCCTAATGTTAAGACAATTAAAAACAATAATTCTGCAAGAAACAATAACAACAAAAAAAGACACTGAAGGCTACAACTCAGAAACCAATGAACTATCTCATATTTAGCTTTGGTCTCTTAAAAAAGAGCAAACAATAATGCAAATATATAAGCTTGCTAAGTGTATTATTTGATTATAAAATGTTCCTATTCTATTTCTGAGCTCCATACACTATTTTGATAAACAATTATAATAATTATTCATAACAATGGTGGGTTAAAAAAAAGAAAATCACCAACAGCACTCCAAGTAACTGCACAAACACCTGTATCCCTGATCTAACAGAAGATGTATTTTCAGATATATTGTCCTTTGTTACACAATCAATTTAAGCATCTCCCAGTCCCTAAGGCGCTGACAAGTGACAGGCTCACAGGGTGGCTGCAGAACTGCTCTCAGGTATGTGTTTCATGCCCGCTCAGGATTTTCTTCCAGCAGTGAAACAAATTAAATCTATGTGGGTAATTGTTTCAAGCAGATATGGATATGTCTTAATTTGTCTTAATGATTTGGTCATGGGCTGGTGCCTCTGCTTTTATTGCAGGTCCCAGATGGCAATAAAAGGCTTCATAATAATGAGATTCTTGGTGGAAATATTTTAAACAAATACAGCCCCCAAAGCAGTCAGCCAGCTCCTCTCTGCTGGAGTATAGCAACTCTCTTGTAGTTACTTTCAGGAAGAGCTTTGTTCCACATTTCTCAAAGCTACCTAGGTCCTACAGTTCTCTTGGATATATCAGAAGTGTATTCAAATCAACAGTCACATTTCTCCACCTCTCTAGAGTTACCACTCTAACTTTCTAGCCACCACTAATTGGGGGCAGCGTTCGTACTCAAATCCAGGTTCTCAACAATTTTTAACACAATGTTGAGGATGGGGGGTGGGTGACTGCCATAAAGGGAGGGAATATATGCAGGGAAACAGCCTAATATTTGAAAACCTTTATAACAGGAACATTACTGAGCTTAACATGAATATAAAATGTCTGGACGGGTGGTCTAAACACCCCACCTGCCAGTAATAATGATAATTATAATAAAAATGAAAATGTTAATAGACACTGTATTGAGCAATGACTGCATGTTAAGTGCATCATCTCCTTTTATGCTTACTATATAACGCCATGAGGCAGGCCTTATTACTCCCATTTTACAGAGAAGGCTGTGGCTCAGAAAGGCTAAGTGACATGCCAAGGTCCTACAGCTGGTGAGTGGTGGAGCTGGATCCCAACCCAGGTTTGACCCCAAGGGCCAGATCTTAACCACCATGTCGTACTGGGTCTGTCCATGTGCTACAAAATTCTAGACCAGCACTGCCCGTAGAACTTCCTGTGATGATAGAAAGGTTCTTGGTTTGTGCTGTCCATTGCAGTAGCCCCAGCTACACATGGCTAGTGAGCACTTGCAATGTGGCTAGTGTGACCGAGGAACTGATTTTAAATTCTGCTTAATTTTAATCTCAATATAAATAGCCACATGTGGCTAATGGCTACCACTACTGGACATCAGCATAATCTCTAGACCTTGCCAGAATGTCCAGCATTTAGTGGGTGCTCAGCAATGTTGAATGAATAAACTCAAGCTTAAATATATTACAAAATTCAGTGCAGGGCTTCCCTGGTGGCACAGTGGTTAAGAATCCGCCTGCCAATGCAGGGGACACAGGCTCGAGCCCTGGTCCAGAAAGACTCCCATGTGCTGTGGAGCAACTAAGTCTGTGCGCCACAACTACTGAAGCCCGTGCGCCTAGAGCCCGTGCTCCACAACAAGAGAAGCCATTGCAATGAGAAGCGCGCACACCGCAACGAAGAGTAGCCCCCACTCGCCGCAACTAGAGAAAGCCCGCGTGCAGAAATGAAGACCCAATGCAACCAAAAATAAATAAATAAATAAATGTATTAAAAAAAAATTCAGTGCAACCTGTACCTTGATAGCACAGGGGCGGTGGAGAGGATGACGGTAAACCTGATCAGCCATCATCTCTTGGTGTGCTTTTCCATCACCATGATGACCATAGTGCTCTAAGGCCAGAGGCTTATTCTTTTCTGGATCCTTTTCTTTAACAAGTCCAGTTACCAGTGAGTCCAGGATTGTCCTTTAAAAACAGGGATAGTTTTGAGGCTGAGCTGTGGCCTAGAAACAGAGGTAGTCCTTGGAATTTAGGGGCACCTGCTAGCTCTTTAAGAAACCACGCTTGTTTTTTCACCTCCGGAGGAGGCTTGGATGAGCTGGGGTGCTGGCTCCTGACCAAAGCAGTAACGATCTACTAGAAGTTTTTAATGAAAATACTGCAAAGGAAGACGTTACCGTGGGCTAAACAATAGTATGTTTTAAAGATAAACAACTGAGGGCAAAAGACTCCTCTGAGAGCTCTCTGATTAAGCTACCACCCACCTGAGAACAAAATTTCATGATGATCTCTCCCCACCTTGCCATTAGGTATCAGAATTAACTGTTACTGGAAGTCTTTTTTGGGTCTGGCATCTGATGGTGCTTCACAATTGTGAATGGACACATCATTCAAGAAACTCGTTGCACTGGGGCATCCTCTTATCCAGAGGACTCCTGTCTCTCCATCACCAGCAGAAAGGCCACCGGCACATGGAGAAACAAGTATGGGCTTCGGTGGGACCCCCTGGGATCAAATCTATAAAATGGAGGGTTTGCTTTTTTTAAATAAATTTATTTATTTTTGGTTGTGTTGGGTGTTTGTTGCTGTGCGCGGGCTTTCTCTAGTTGCGGCGAGTGGGGGCTACTCTTCGTTGCGTTGCACAGGCTCCTTGTGGTGGCTTCTCTTGTTGTGGAGCACGGGCTCTAGGCACGTGGGCTTCAGTAGTTGTGGCACGCAGGCTCAGCAGTTGTGGTTTGTGGGCTCTAGAGTGCAGGCTCAGTAGTTGTGGCACCCAGGCTTAGTTCCTCCGCAGCATGTGGGGTCTTCCTGGACCAGGGCTCGAACCCATGTCTCCTGCATTGGCAGGCGGATTTTTAACCACTGCACCACCAGG